TATAACGGATCCATTTCTATTTGTGAATAACGCCTAGGTCTTCCTCTTTTTGGTGACAAATCCAAAGTTAGAAATTCATCTTTTTCATCTAAAGTTAGTTTATAAAACATTTTATAGCCATCTGCTGGCGGGTCTGGAGATAGCCGCCACATCACTATAATATAATTTACAAATCTGCATTATTCTTTCGCACTTATAAAAATAAGTCCAGTGATCACAACTTTTTTTAAAATACTGAAAATAATACAAAACAATACTTCACACACACTTATCACACGTTTCTATTTCTTTTACACTAAGCCCCGCAATGAATTTCCCGAGTACGGCGACTTACGCCACTTTCAAAATAAACATGTTTGTTATACCGTTCATTAGCCAAACTTCTCTCGAACAAATCTCAATAGTTCTCAACTTATTGATCGCAAATTTTTTTAAAATGAAAAGATACCGTTCAATTGTAATTAGTGTTACCATTAACTCGATTTTTTTGAAAAAGTAACTTATGCCACTTTCAAAATAAACGGCTCATGTATGTAATGTAATGTAAATAATATAATGTTAATTCTCTCTCTCTCTCTCCCTCTATTAAGCAGGCGATTTTCAGTCACTGGTCTCTCAGTTGAATTTGGTCGCTCAGTCATTTCCTACATATACCTTCTCTCAAATAAAAGTAAAAATAAAACTTTGAAGAAAAAAAATTAATATCATGTTCATTTGAGAAATAATCCAAGCCATAATCCCAATAGTTTTGGTACCAGTATATGGCAAAAATAAAACTTCGGATACTGTACTCTATCGTATTGTTCCAACTCTTTACAATCTCGTGGAATAAAATCATGTTTTAAATGACGCGCAATGATTTTACACGGTGAAAATCTAGTCCCGACATTGCGCGCAATCGAGATTGCACCCGCGAGTGGAATTAATTGTATTATAATGTCAAACGTTCCGGTGAACTTCTCGAGAAATTGAAAATGTTCCATTTAACTTTGTACATTTTTCAATAAACTCAACGTAAATGTACATCGAGAGCGGCCACATAACTGCTTTCGACGAATTCTCGCGGAGCTAGTTCAGAAGGCAATGAATTTAAAAGCGCTCAAGGCTCCCGCAGTTATATTAAAGCCGACATTGTCGTAAATGGAGCAAACTCTTCTAACAGAGGAACTTTCCACAGTCTAAGGTGACATAAAATCATTCAACTTTACCTGGCCGATGATGGACCGGAAAGTTTCGCAATCACGGCGGATAATTGGAAACGAATCGTCGGATACGAACCAGTCACCCGAATCCCGTCTTATCAATTGCTTTTCTTATCACTTTCTTTTTACCCACGTAAGAAATATTCTTCTCGACGCACATTCCTCTATGAACATTTTCTTGCCACTGTTTAGCAAATTCTGAAAGTTCTATATGTATCTAATTGATAATACCACTTTACATTGCAATTAAAATCTCTATTAATTTAATGTATCTTAAATAGAAACGTCGTAATACATTTTCAAAAAGGACAACTATGTTAATTACTACATTCCTTATATAATATATAATTAATATTCATTATATTAATAATGATATTAATATTGATTATATATTATATATAAGTACATAAGGAATGCATATCTTGAATGTATTAACGTAGTTATTTCTTTCAAAAATGCATTATGCATTTCTATTTAAAATCCATAAGATTAATAAAAAGTTTAATTACAATGCGACGTGGTATTATTAGTTCACCGTTCACTCATTACAGACTTGTAAAGATATTTAAAAATATCTTGACATTAATATAAAAACTCATCGTATACAAATGGCTTCGTATGAGAGATAATTTCATATATATACATACGTATTTTGTAAAACACAATTTTATCCATCATTAATTACGCTTCTTTACTAAATTAAATTCCAGCTTCTCGAGCTTCCTAAATGTTGAATATTTATCGAAATGTTAACGTTTCGAATGAAACTTGCACTCCAAGAAGAGCTTGTTGAACAAATGTTTCGTAGGATTTTATCCATCCCTAGAATTCAGACTTCGCAGATAGGATCTCTTTCTACCAGAGTAATGCTAATAGATCTGATCGATATTGACATTAGAACTTCGCAAGTAGACCGATGTAGTATTTGACAAGTTAATTGATATAGGCAACGCCTATCGTTCCCAGATACAAGACGCTATACAAACACGATTTTCTTCTCCAATGAGATAATAATTTCAGCGACGATTGAGAAAACGTCATTGAACAAAGACGACGAACGATGAGAACGTAATTTTTGCCGGTCACACAAACATTTGCAGGTGCCGGCTTTTAAGTGCAAACAAAACGCAGCCGAGATGAGGAAAGTTCGGTTGCAAGTTCCTGAACTTGGCTCTTTCGAATATGTATGTTACGGGAAAATGGTTCGCAGGACGCGGGGCGTGAATCACTGCATAATTTTAATGCCGCACCCGCCTGCCTGTGCAGAGAATAAATATTTACATTCGTGGGACTTGATAACACGGCGTGGTGTCGCCGACGAGAAAATGCTTGACAAAAATGCGGGGACACGTTAGAGGATTTTCGCTGCATTAATGACGGAATTTTATAAAACGTTCGCGAGCGAAATCGATTACGAGTTATCGTGAACTTAGTCAAT